CCTTCCTGTGCAGTGGAATTGTGTCCTGCTGCGCCCCAAGGATAGCCTCCAATCCTTGGGGCTTATTCAGTGGGCTTAAGCCCACTTAAATCAGTGGGCTTATTCATGTGGATTAAATTAAGCACTGTGTGTGTATTTGCAAGATCATGGCTTCACATCAGAGGCAGGAAACAACTGTAGCAGCTTACTTGTGGAAATCTTACGTATCTGTATACTCTCATAATTTAAGTTTCATCATATGCTCTAAGCACTTTTACTACATTAGACAACAAGCTACTTTGGGGCAGGGCAATTTGGGTACTTTTGCTCCACAAGCCACCTAGCATATTTGGGACCTATATAAATAACTATACCTATTCAGCCAACCAAGACTAGGAAAATCTTGCTTAGCAGAAGTTGTGACATCAATTGCAGCTCTCCCTTCTTCCAGAGATGAACACTGGGTAGACAAGAGGACTACCTTAATAATAATCACATAGAGTAGCAGCAAGAGCTTCCACAAGGGGGGCTAAACTTGTGGTGAAAGTAGCAGCCTAGCACTTGGAAGACCTGGGTTCAATTCCCTTCTCTACCAAAAATTTCTTCTATGACTGGGTGTCTCTCTTTAAGACTATTTGTCATCTGTTATATGAAAATAGCACTTTCTCAAAACATAAGGATGGTGAGGTACTCACAGTACATAAAGAGATGGGCATTGACGCAAGGTATGTTGAAATGCTAATTTTGAACTCTATAATATTAAGAGGTCTAAAGAGTTTTGTCAAGAGCTGGAAACTCTTGTTGGACTCAACCATCCCACATGTTTTCTTTATGTCACATTAAAGGCATTGACCAATGACCAGTCACTAATTGAATCAGTTACTTTAAAAAATTAAAGGCCAACCTAGGCATTGGCAATGCAAAGAAGCGAAAAGAGATCTTGGAGTCATAGTGGACTCCGAGATGAACATGAGTCATCAGTGTGATGAAATCATCAGCAAAGCTAACTGCACTTTATTATGCATCAGCAGATGCATGACAAATAGAACCAAGGAGGTGATACTTCTCCTCTGTGTGGCATTGGTCAGACCGCAGTTGGGGTACTGCATCCAGTTTTGGGCACTGTACTTCAAGAAGGATGTTGATAGACTTGAGAGAGTCCAGAGGAGAGCCACTCATATGGTTAGGGGCTTACAGGACAAGCCCTATGAGGAGAGACTGAGGGACCTGGACCTATTCAGCCTCCACAAGAGAAGGCTGAGAGGTGATCTTGTGGCTGCCTACAAATTCAGTAAGGGGGTGCAGCAAGGGATCAGAGATGCTCTGTTCACTAGGGCACCTCTTGGGGCAACAAGGAACAATGGTCACAAATTGACAGAGAGCAGATTTAGGCTGGATATCAGGAAAATCTTCTTCACAGTAAGGGTGGCCAAAATTTTCAATGGGCTTCCAAGGGAGGTGGTGCTCTCTCCTACCTTGGGGCTCTTTAAGAAGGCTGGATAGGTCATCTGACCCCAGCACTCTTTCCTGCCTAGGCAGGGGGTCAGACTCGATGATCCGTTGAGGTCCCTTCTGACCCTAGCATCTATGAATCTATGAAAGCCTAAAAACCAGCTCTATCCAACAATTTTCCTCTGCTCCCTGTTTAATTGACAAAGAAGAACTGGGTCAGAATCCTCAATCAAAATTATTTGCTGCAACTCAAAATTATCACAGGAAAATATGTTTAACAGTATTTTCTGATTACAAAGACAATCTAGAAAAAATATGTAGCTTTGTATAAGTTCAAACCGAGGTAAAGTTTTCCATTTGTTGAACTAAATTCAAACATTCCATTTTACAACAATTCAACATTAATCTGCATCTGTCTCTGGGCAGGGATGACTTATAAGGAGCTTTATACTCTCATTCTTTCCTGTGAGGCAGTGGTTCTCAACCTTTTTAGACTCGAGGCTCACCTTGGAAAATGCCACCTTTTATTGCTCACTGTTTTTGGACTTCTGAAAAATAACAGAGCAGTTTTTCTGTTGCAAGGAACTCAGAAAGACCATAACTATTGATTTCCACTTTAAATGTCTGGGTTTACCTTGCGAATCATATTTCAAACCTAAAAGTGCTAATATTGTGTGGCACCCCACAGCACCCATGAAAGAATCTCAAGGTACCCTGACTGAGAATCATTACCATAAGGTCTATCTAGCCACTGATAGAAACTATATTCCACACTGCACTGCAGTCTGACCTCTGACTGATCTGCATGATTAATTCTGGAAAATGTAGTTTGATGAGAGAACCTGGCCAGCTGGGAGAAATGAGGACATGAGACACCAATTTACAGAATATTCCTGAAGCACTCCTGAGCCCCATGGCTATACACAGTTCATTGCACAACACACCAACATGGGATGTTTCAGAAATGTTTCACTTCAGTGCTTTAAACCAAATCAAATCTTTTTGTGCGCTATTTGCTTAGTGAAAAATCTCCAGTGTCCACTTTCTGTCCTAGTCTAATATGATAAAGGGCTTAGTCTGTCTGTCTGATCAAATGTGCATACATCGCCAAGATAGGGTTACCATACATCCGTGTCCTCTTTTTTAAGCCCTCTGACCTCAGTTGGAGCGGGTTTTTTAAAATCTGGCCAAATGTCCAGGACTTTCTTTTGGTCCGCTGGTGGGAGCAAGGGGAAGGCAGTCGGAGGCAGCAGGGAGCACACACGTACCTGCCTGCAGCAGCGCAGACCCATGCAATGTTCCCTGTTGCCTCTGATTACATCCCCCTGCTTCCACCCCTGGCCAGGCTGGCAACACAGGGGCCCGTGCTCTGCTCGCAGGCGCTGAGCAGCCAAGAGACACTGAGGGGGCAAAAGGGGAGAGTTAGGGAGGGGGCCATGGCCAGGTTGCCTGGTGCAGTGCAGCAGCCCCATCCCAGGGCGTGGGGTGCCACGGTGTGGCAGCACCAGGGGGCTGTCTGTAAGGAGTGAGGGGCACCATCAGGACCCAGGGAAGCAGGGTACTGCAGTTTGGTGAGTGAGGGGCACTAGCAGGGCTGGGGTCAGTGGGTTGGGAG